TGTGAGCTCACGCCCCGGGTTACCGTGTGGGGTAGCTCGTTCAGGTCCGTGAGCCCTGGGTCTAAGCGAGCAGAGCTCGCACCGGCTCTCTGCGAGGTAGAAATTTCCAAAGCCGAGCGTGGTCCTCCTCAGCGCCAGCGGGCATGTAGTGATGAGCAGGGGGTGGGTGGAGGGGGAGAGAGCTGTAATAACCCAAGGGGCTTGTTTGAGCTAGTGCTCCGTACTGCGATGCTTTGCTTTGAGGAAAGTAGGTATTTATTTTGAATAACAGATCATAAGAGCATTCAGCTTTATGTTGTTAATGCTTGAAGCACATATTTTCGCTTCTTGAAAATTTGTCCTGTGCACTAACTCTTGGGGAAAAAAAAAACCACCCTATTAATTTCCACATGCTTAAAAGAAAACTAAGAACGAAAAATTTCATAACTTCCAGGCTGACATTCATCACGAGAACAATTTTACCGTGATTACCAGTGGGTGAGCTCGCTGCCATTTGAATCCCATAAAGCAGAACTGACACACTGTAGTTGAAGCAGGAGTTCAAGCACTGATGCAGAAAGCCAGGAATACAATTGTAATGGCTTTCTTCTCACTAGCATCTGTGCATCTTGAACACATATTGAAGTGTGTTCGTATATTGCAGCAGCAGTATATGAAAAGTGCTTTTACTCAATGTAGTTTTTTTCTAGCTGGCAGGCTAACGTTACCTCATTGAATTCCCAGCCTCGTGCTCCATGTGTGAATTTGCTAATGAACACTGAGTCTTGCCACTGACTTTTACATGTCTGTAGAAGATTATCGAACCATATTAGTTTTGACCTTAGGTGGAAGATTCAGTATCTTCCACTTCCTTCTCTCCCATCTTCCATTAACATCAAAAGAGATTAAGACACAAAATTTCATATTTTATGTGGAAACAGAGAAATAAGAATAGGAACAAATTCTTATAATCTTTTATGGGTACAATTTAAGAGAAAAATAAACATTTGAAATAGAGCAATACTTAACAGGGGCACTACACAGGATAAATAAGTAACAAGAAGAGTATATTTGTCCATTTGTCCAGACAGTGCAATATAGCGAAGTGTTTCTAGAGTTTTAACAAACTAATACATAATTGCATGTTAACAACCATTCTAATAAAAAATTGCGGCTTATCTTTCTTTCTAACAAAGGTTTAAGGGACTAAAATGACAGATCAGTACTCAGTCTTACTGAAAGTCCCAACTGGAAATGCTGCTTTTATTACGGAAAGCGTTTTCCATTTCCTGGTGATTTGCAATACTCAGTACAAGGGCTTTCCCAAGATCCAAAGTCAAAACCACTGACAACTAAATAAATGGATCTACAAAAAATCATGTCCAAATAAAAATTTATTTAAGAAAAATATTTGCAGTCCTTACTTCTGAGTGTAGTCCAAGATTACTTCTCTCTGCAACCCTTTTTTTACAGAATGAGGTGCAGAAAAGACTTTGTTAGATTAGATGTATTATTATGACTTCTCAGGGTAGGGCTAGGACAGAGCTGTTGCTGTCACCATTCGTGCTGCCAGCTGGATGTAAACTCACTGTCACCTTTTTCTTGCCAAACACTTCACTAGAAACAGGGCAGCTTTACTGTGAAGGACTACCAGTGATATTCCAGTAATTCCTCATTTCCACAGTGTTGGGAGACAACCTCAAATTAATGCCCTCAGATTTAAAATCTGTTATAAAATCTAAGTAACACTTTTGGGGGCAAATTTTGGAGCACTGGCAGATCGGATTCATGGACTTAAAGTAGAAGGGATCAAGGAGGGGAATCATTCCTACTGTGTGAGGAAGCCTGACTAACTCTAAGTTTGAAATGCCATCATGAAGTGCTGGAATGGGCCACGCCAAGTGACTGTGTAGCAGTAGGCACCATGTGTAAGAGTTGTTAAGGGGCTGATACTGAAAGTACATGCCATCCGAGGCGAACAGAGAGCTGTCACGATCCACGCGACTCTCACGCTGTTACAGCATAACGGGTCTGACCAAAGATCGGTATTTCCTCGTACCCCGTTTCCAATATTAGCCAGTACCTTACGCTTAGGGAAGAGTATAAGAACAGGAGAGTTGTTAAATATTTATCCAAATGTTTATATAAGTATTTCTCCGAATGTTTATATGCTCTCCGAATCTGCCTCTGAGTATTTCTCAGACCCCCCTGCTTTGTCACTCGGGCCCTTCCTTAGCCAGAGCTCATGTCACCATACAGCATGCTTTCTGTGGCTTTATGTGCAACGAAAGGACTGAGTAATTGTTCCGAATATCATCAGACAAAAAGTTAAGCTGAAGTTATTGTAATTTTTGTATTTTTATTTTTAACTCTAAAAATAGCCATCCATAGCTCTGGTTATGCCTGTAAGTCTATATTAAAGAATTTTTGTACTTTCTTAGTCTTTGTGGATTGAAACCTGAAGTTTCAAGGCATCTCGCTAGTGTGATGTTTGTAAGAATGTGGTATAGCTCTACATTAAGCATGGAAATATGGTACACTATTTTCAAAATCTTAATTATATAAACATGGATTAATTATGTGGAAGGAATGGCGCATGCCTTGGGCTATTGTACTGGGTCTGGGCTGGGTGGTGGGGATCAATCCACCACAGTTTAGAAGTTTATTTTTATTAGTCTCAATTTCCATTTGAGATCTCAATTTAAGTTTTATACCAAATTCCAGTTTGATTAAAAGATACTGTTACGTTCTTTCTTTTACACTGGAAGGGTTATCAGTTGGTAGCATTGTTCAGTTTCCTTAAAAAAATATAAAAAAATTAGCCAACACCATCAAATGTGCTAGTTAAATATACCTGCCTTTGGAAGCCAGGAGCATAGAGCACCCATCCTTCAGCACTTCGGAGTCTGATTTTCAAAGATGACTTCTCAACACTTTTGAAAACTGAATCAAAATGGTAACTTCAGTTGGACAATCACAAACAGAAGCATTCAGATCACTAGTCAGTTCTGAAAATCATGAGTTGAGGGGCCATGAAAAATGTAAAAATGATGTGCATAGGTTCCGGTCCTTTACTTACACAAACCTGCGACCCAAAACGGTGGCTTCAGTGCCAAGTTCATCACGTGTTTTCAAATAACAGTAATTCACAGTAAAGATGCATGGGGATTTAATAGTAAAAATATGTAGTCACTGCTAGTGAAAAGTCTAATGGACCCGTGGTTTTGAGGGGTCCCCTCAATTCAAGTCAATCCTCTGAAGGTAAACAAGTCATTCTCTATCCTTTTCCAAGTAAAGAGATAAAAGGGTGTAATGTTTACATAACATTATATAAGATCTATGCCTAAAGATATTTTTAATAATCTCCTAAGAACACTGACAAGTGAAGAACAAAGATATTCCATGAAGAAAATATTCTACTAAATTATTTATGGTGGATGGATATTTTTAGAATTCTAATTTGAAATGTATCCATTCTTTTTCTTTTGTAGGTGGCTGGTATTAGGTATTGCCATGGTGCGGTTTTATATACAGAAAGGAACACATAGAGGCTTATTCAGAAGCGTTCAAAAGACGCTTAAATTTTTCCAGACACTTGCTTTGCTTGAGGTAAATTTTAAACATTAGTTTGCTTTACTGGATGCTGCATATCATAGGCAAAACACATTATTAACTGGAATTTAAGATAAAAACATTATATTAGTACTTAAATTCCTTTTAACTTTATTATTTAATGAAGGTTTTTTGGGGGGCAAGGTGATTAGTTGAAACAAATGGACACATTTTTTCAGACTTAATTCTAATATTTCTTTAAATCAAATGCTGCCTGGGAACTGCTTTGATTTGAGAGTCTTTAACTCAAAAGGCAAAATCTCTGAAGGCATTCCAGCCAGCAGATCAACCCTCTAGCTTAGTAGATACCTCGTCTCCGTCTTCAGAGATGATAGCTTCCCTCTTATTCCTTATACTGGACTCATTATCCTTCTGTGCCTTTCCTGCTTCTGCTTATTTCCAGACAGGATTCACATGCTCCATATAATCCGTTACAACAAGATCTGTGCAAGTTGTGCAAAGTATTCTTTAAATAGTATGACTTCTGCCAACTATGCACTAGTGGTCTCAGTTTATGGTACATCTATGGAATGAAACTGTTGGGTGTATTGAGCGCTTACAGTTCTTTCTCAGGCACAACAAAGAGTGCCTATCTACATTTTAACTTTTTTTCTCAATCTGCCTACAACATCTGTAGTTCAAGCAACTATTAAAATCATGTGGCCAGCTGTATATAGACTTCTATGCTATTAAACTTTCACAATAAGTAATTTTTCTCAAATCTGTCAAAATAATGAAAACCACTCTATTTGCTAAACATTACTGACCAGAAAATACAATAAATCTGAAGCTTCTTAGCTGTCATTGGCAAAATTATAATAATGTTATTAATCCATAATGAATACAGAACGTTTTAAAATTGCTGTGCATTTAGCATCCCTTAATATGACTCCCTCCACACTGTCCTGTAAAATTCTTCTTTGAGTAAGATAATGGAAGGGAAGCTTACTAGTTGAAAAAATAAATGCTTTGTAAGTATCTAAATATGTAATATATACAATTAATTAGGAAAATAAATCTTTTTCATGTGTTTGCACAGATAGATACTGAGCCCATCACAGTATTGGTTGCCAGTGCTCTAACATGTATTTCTTTTAAAGAGTGTTAGCTGGACACAAAAAAACAGTTCTCCTTCAGAATTAAGCCTAGGTTTATATTAATATCAAAAGGCCATGTTTATAGTCTAGATAGTAACATACTGTACATCAGTAACCTCTAACTTATTTTTATTTACAGGTAGTCCACTGTGCAGTTGGTGAGTTCTTTGTTTTAGTTTCACCTGTAACTAATTAAAAGATGAATTGTGGAACAGAGATAACATGTTTCTCTTTTTAAGGAATAGTTCGCACATCTGTGCTTGTGACTGGGGTCCAAGTGAGTTCAAGAATCTTCATGGTGTGGTTCATTGCACATAGTATAAAACAGGTATGTGCGTGAGCAAGTCGTGTTTTGATTGTTTTTAAGGAGAAGCTATCAATACAGTTCTCATTTCACGAGGAAGACCAAAGTAAAAATTAATGACATTCCTACAGAGAATACTTACACACTTGAGTGCGATTTTGGAAGTTGGGGTTACAGGATGGAATTTATGTGCTTCTACCCAGGAGACTGGGTCTGGGTCTTAGCAGTGAATCAGCACGGTCTTCAGTGTCGTGCCGGCTGTGGTCAGCCTAAGTGAGATCAATGACTACTTCTATTATTTACCAGCAAATCTACCACAGTGTTACTGGTTCCCTTTCAAAAACTTACATTAGCACTTACTGAATTAATCTAAATGAAAATATGTCTTAAACGGAATTTACCTGGATAAACATGGTTGTGATTTTGCAATTTATTTTAGGAACCTTCTCAAGATTTTAATGTTATGGTAGTATTAACATTTGGTGGCATGCATACTGCATTGTTTTCATTAAAATATATATCAAGTCATCCAGCATGCCACAGTGATGCCTAAGGTCCTATATAAATGACGATAGTTTATTTGCCTGGTTGTAGGTGGTTATTGTAAGTCTAGTGATTCATTAGCAGAATGAAACAAGCAGACTGCTTACAGCTAGTAGATAGGACATTCAGTTCAGTTTCTGAGGTCTGCTTTCTGTGAAGGGCATGTAAGAATTAAGCGGTAGATTTTAAGTCTCTGCTCCTGATCTTTAGACTTAAAAAGCTGAGCCATTAAACTGTCTCACCAGCAGATGGCATATGCTTTTCTGCTGATGGGATCCCATAGCACCTGCCTCAGTTGTCAAATCCCTTTGTGTCAGTTCACCGGGGATTTGTTTTCTACACTTGCATCTTTTCCTTTATTGTTGCTTTTCTTAACATGGAATAGCTTTTTTTTTTTTTTGTAAGCTAAGTGTTTTCATTTTTCCCTTAAGGGAAATCTCAAATTCCCTTAAGGGAAATCTCAAAGATTAACAAGTTTTTTATATTGAATGTTTACGTGAATGCTGGAATAAAGCACTGCATTTTGCCATTTTGTTATTATCTGCAGTGGATTAAATCTTTAGCATATCCAGCGTTTCTTTTCCTCTATCTTCAGTACAGTAGGTCAAGCTGTGTCCAAGAAAAAATACATCTGAATGTATGTCTGTATTTCACGCTGTTATTGCTTAGCAGGCATGAATGTTCAGGGCCACTTTAGGTGGTGAGAGGCATGTTAGTGATAATAGCCAGACGCTGATCTCTCTGCTTGACTGGAGATTTGCAAGGCAACAGATAGGAATTCTCTGCATACTTATTTAAAGCTCTTCTGCTTGGATTTAGCACTGTGACATGAGTCCAAGTTTGGGTTATCAATGTTTGTCTCTAATCGCATGAGGCTAAGAACAGCCTAATTCTGTCTTTCCCTTTGCTTATTTGTTTGGATGTCTTTGCACTGCAGTTGCTATTTGTTTGTGAGTTTGGCAGTATTTTTATATCTCGTTTTGTGATGTTGGTGAGATCCTTTCACTAAAAGTGCACCTTCTTTGACTGACACATTGAGGGTCAGTCGATTTTATGAGATGATAAGCACTTATAATTTTTCTTGACTTTTGACCAAGTTGTGCATTTTCAGCATCTTTGAGACGTATTAAGCTTTGTCACCGTGTTGCATTTTATTAAAAAAAATGGTTTCCCTTTTTTGTAATTTTAACAAAACTTGTGTTACTTTATTTTATTTCACAGACATCCCTGGAGCTTTTCAGCCTTCAGGCATGGAAGCATATTACAAAATTCCTCCCCTTTTAAAGAAAAGAAAATTACTTGCGTGTAATTCTTCTTCTCAGAGGGTAGTGTTTGTAATGGATCCCCACGTGCTTTCTTTGTATTTGGGGACTTTTGTTTATTTGTTCACCTAGAGTGAAAAAGAACCGATGTTTTGAAACAGCAGATAGGTGTGCTACCTACCGATGAGGCAGTTTAATGACTCAGAACTTAAATCTTAAACGGGATTGTTGAGTGAGTTTACCCAAAGCTCCTGATCTCCCACTACTCTTCATTTAGTGATCCATCTGTGTTCCAGCTCCTTAACTATCTCACAGCTTCCTGAAGTCTGCCAAATTTGATCTTCTGCAACTAAGTTCCAGTTAGTAGATTATACTAAGCAATTCCTTTTGTCTGAAGTTTTATGGTGAGGAAGAAGCAAGATAAAAAGTAAGAGAAAGTCTAGGAGACAGAGTAGTGAAATGCAGAATGGGTAAAAACTGATTATGAAAGGAACATATCTTCTGTGTTGTTTTCTTCTTGCTGTTTTGAGGAGTAAGAAAATAAACAAATAAATCAACCACAAATAAAAAGAGGGAGACAGTTAGATAGCATAGTGAAAATGCAGATAGAGAATGAAGAGAGGAATTAGCTCAATTATAGGGTTTTGTATTTTGATATTTGCATAATGGATAAAGATGCTCAGTTTGCAAAATGTCTGTGTGTCACTAAATACACGTGATAAAGAACTGTACATGGTAATGGTTTCAGCATATCACTTTTATGCCAAAATTTTCTTTCTTTACAAGATGTTAGTTCTGTTCCATATATCTTAAACAGAAGTCTGTTGCAGTTTGCACAGAAAAGAAGCTTAAGGATGAAGAAAGTGTTGGTTCTTTATACTTCTGCAGATCCAGAATGAGGAGAGCGTTATTCTTTTTCTGGTCGTATGGACTGTGACAGAGATTACTCGATATTCCTTCTACACATTCAACCTGCTCAACCATTTGCCATACTTCATTAAATGGGCCAGGTGGAGATGTCTTGCACTTCAGTTTCTCATGGTTCTGTGCATGTTAGTTTCACGCATGCTGAGCTAACACACAGGAGAGCAGATGTTAGAGCTTTGGTTATGTGTCAGCAGAGTGCAAGTCAGTTGCTTTCTGTACTTGGGATCATTGTTACTTGGTTTAAAATGTTAAAAATATTTTAGCTGACATTTTGGGGTGTGATTTGTTCTTTGCTTTCTGTGTCTCACAGTTTGAACTCTGCTTTAATTTTTTTTCTTTATCTTTGGAGTCATCTTTTAACTTACACTATGGCTCCTTAAGATGCTTTTGAATACAATGCCCAAAATTAAGCACCTGTGCTAGTCTTTGTGGATTTCAGATCTTTGAAAATGTGGGAGTAGTTGTCACTCAATCTCATGCGTATTAGTACTTTATGAGAAGTTCTGCTTTATCAGAGCTTTTATAAGGTTATATTCATGTAGTGAAGCTAAATATTGACTTAGTTTAGCCCACATAAAAAGTGTGTTCCACATCAAAACTGCTTTGATTTTGAAGCATACTTAAGGTTGGCCACTAGGTCAGATATATTGCAGAGACTGCATGTTTATCAGGAGACTTAACTGGAAGAGTAGTATTCTCTGTAGTCATTATTTGAAAAATACATGTAAGACAGACAGACTTACACCGTTAGAAGGAAAATATCTTACCTACGTTCAGCGCAGGCGACTCTTATTTAAAAGAGTGTTTGTTTATTTTCCTTTATTTTTGTTTTATAATTAATGCAGTTCTGATGCTTCTAATGCACTTCTTTGAGATGTCTGATATTTATGTCCATTCTTATAATACATTATCTTTTTGCTAATACCTAAGGTGGTAGCCTTGGTTATGTTTAAACACTAAATGGCAAACTTAAAAATAATCAGGTATAGTTTCATTAATAATTTTTTATGTGGGCTTCAGAAAGAGAAATGCATTCAGAAAGTACTACATTGACAGATACACTTCTTGCCATCAAGTCAGTGTATCTTGAATGACAGAATTTTTGTTTCCTTATAATAGACAATAGGGAAAACTGACATTCTCACAGCAGAGATATATGGTGAAATGTACTATAAACAAAACATTTGAAAATGTGCTATCTTTTCATAGAGTCCAAAATATCCCACCAAGATTTATGGATAATCAAACAGCACAACTGGGCATAAATTCAGTACTCCCAGGGAGTTGGAAATTTCTGATCTTTAGCTTGTAATTGTAAAAGATTTCCCTGTCCATTGTTAATGGAATAGGTATGCTCTAAATTTTGGTTCAGAATTTTTACTTCATTTTTTTTTCACTGCATAGAGACAAACTGTGTGTAGGTCATGGCGTCAGTTCCTTCTTATACTTGCCCTAATCTGTTCTCTGACCTGTGAGTCCTCTAAGCCCATTTGCTCAAGGAGGGTTTCATGTTTGCTTGCTGCTGTTTTGGATCTCATCTCTTGCTCATGGAGCGCACACTGTACCTTTCTCTCTGTGCGACAGCTCTCATTGCTGTTCCCTGCATGAACTCGAGAGCTGTTCCTTAGGAGAAACTGCATCTCCATGGTGCATTATGTGTGAGGACAGCACAAACCCTATTGATTACATTTTTCGTTTCGTCACCACCTATGTGGCCTATGGCATTCAAACCACATTTGCTTTAAACTGAATGCCTTCGCCTTTTATTTGAACATCTTCTTCCCATTTTAAAATGGATCTGATAAGTTTCTGGCACTTTCATTTTCTTTTATCTTTTATTTCCATTCCATTAGTGGTAAATGTAGTATTATTTGGATTTCTCATGTGGCAGTGGGTAAAACAGGCTTCTGATGTTTCTCAATGTTTTCATTATCTTCAAAGAAATTATAATACAGAGTTGACCCAGTGTGTGTGCACTGTGACAAAGATGTGTAGGATCATCTGAATTTGGGATCCAGTCCTGGTCTGAATCCTGTCAGTGACAACAGGAGCAAGATCCGTAGATTTAAAAAAAAAGACATTATTGGAGACTACAAATTTGCGGATTTTTTACTCTTTAGTATTAGAAAGACATACAAACATTCTGATACTTCACTGTTTTTAAATAAAAGGACTGAGGAATGCATTCTCTGTAAACCTAAGCAACGCTATCCAAAATAACTGAAACTGGTATTCTGTGCCAAGTCAGAATGTGGTCCTTGATTTTGGTGCAGAAACTACTGTAATACATTGCTGTGCCACTAATAATAGCAAGAGGAAATTTTAAATTCATGGGGTGTTTCTCACAAGGGTTTTTTTTTTAATGCAGATACAACTTTTTTATCATTTTGTATCCTGCTGGAGTTGCAGGTGAACTGCTAACCATATATGCTGCTTTACCCTATGTGAAGAAAACAGGAATGTTTTCACTGAGACTTCCCAACAAATATAACGTCTCCTTTGACTACTATTACTTCCTTATTATTGTCATGTTCTCCTATGTGCCATGTAAGTATTACTTAACTGTAGTAACGCTAACAGCATAATAATCAATTATCAGCAATGCTGGAAACACTGCTTGTAGTTAAATTTGCTGAACACTTTCTACTATAAAAATCTGTTTTCTATTGTTCCAAGCTTTGCTGTGCTTTAATTGGTTAGACTGAAATTTTCCATCCTGTTATCTGCCTCAGAACATAAGCTGTCTTAAAAACTTCAGTGAAAATGCTAAAAACATTTCTGAGACTTGGACAAAGTAAAAAACCTATTTGCTTACACGCAGAAATGTCTGTAACTGTGTCGCTGAGAATTTCTACTGCCTCTGCCACTTTGAAGCCACGGCTTAAAAATTGTCCTGCAAGTTGTGCCAGAGATTTGCCTTGTTTTTATTGCTATTAATATCCATTTACGTGTCACCTCTGAAGATCACCATTTGAACATGCTCAGGAAAAACTTGAGGCAATATTCTCCAAGATTTCATTTTCAAAGAAATCCACCCCCCAAACCTCTCTGGACATACTTCAGTCCTTGGTTTAATCAGATTGTCCTTGTACTTCTGGATACCAGAAGCCACAGATCAATTGGCTAACTAGAGCTAAGCTTAGAGAGACTCTCTTTCTTGCACTTCCAGTGTTATTTCCACTGGTACCTAAGCAGTGTAGACAAGGAGAAAGCAACCTGATTCAGATATAGCACCATCAATGGGGATAGACCAAACTAGGCAAATAGAATATTTTAGATAGTCTGGACAATGAGACTAGAAACAAGGCAAGAGATTAGGGAGAGGCATTGAGAAGCAGGAAAACTGAAGTTAAAAGGGTCTGTGATCTGCATCCATAAAAGGTATTCCTTTAAGAAGTTGATCTTAAACATAGACTTTCACAGTATGCACACACACTGTGAAATTTTTTGTCACAAGAAATGAAGGCCAACGAGGGAGATTTATATGAGTAAAAAACGTCCTAAGCCATCATAACTTACTAACAGTTTTACAATTGTTTACGTAACTTCATGCTTCAGGAATAAATCCGATTTTCTGTCCATTAAATATAAGGATAAAATGTATCAGCAGGGCAGTAATACAATAAATCTCAGAGGGCCAGGAGAGAGGGAGCTTCTCACTTCAGATTGGAACAAGTAGGGTAAATTTGTATCCTCCTCAAAGTCTTAATTCAAACATGCTTACCTTAGCACAAATTTGAAGACTTCAGACGCTGCCAGAAAGTGGTTAAGTCCTGTTTATACAAAGAAAGTGTTGGAGGGAAGGAAGTTCCTTGAACACAGGGTATACATAAAGGGGGCCTTGTCTGACTTTTGAGTAATTACTGTTTTGTAATTCACTGCAATGTTCATGACTTGCTATTATTTACCTTAACCAACTGTAGCACTGTGTGCCATAATTTTTCGTCAGTTCATCATTCTGCAAAGTTGTATTTTTCCATTATGTGATCTGTTGAATTTTTTTCATCTAATTTGCTCTCTTTTATGCTTTGATCAAGTATTTCCACAACTCTACTTCCACATGTTGCGGCAGAGAAGAAGGGTGCTTCACGGAGAAGTGATTGTGGAAAAGGACGATTGAATCAAGCCGTGTAACTATGGTGCTTTTAATGGAAAAAAAGAGGGTAAAAAAACAAAACTTCCTGTGATTTTTCTGAGTCCAAGTTTTAAAACATGGAACAAGAATAAACAACTGTGCATAAAATAGCATGGACTGTATTATTTTTACAATTAATATATCTTCAGACTTACCTTTTCATCCTTGGTTTCACTTTGATTTTTAATTGTTCACTTTTTCAAATTGTTTTCTTATTTTCAGTAGGCTGTCAAATAGCTTTAAGAATTGGAATAGTTGGCTACTGTGCTTTCTATTCTGAAAGTTCTGTTATGACCTGTAGTCATCATCAAGAACAGAAGGAGAGTTGATAAGTTGTACTGAAAGTGAGTCTTCTGGAAAACAGAGCATAAATTAGGTAATGATGTTTTTCATAGACTAGGTGGCTTAAATGTTATTTAAGATTTATATTAAATAATACCTTTCCAGTTATAAGTACTGTTAGCATGTTGTTCAACATTCTTTGAATTACAGGATCACACTGGAGAATTCCAGAAGGACTTTTGAAAGGAGCTGGATTCTTGATTGTCAGTGCAAATTTAGATCTCTCTGTATTTTCATTTATAATTTTAAAGATACGTAGAATAATAGATATAATATTAACTGGTTAAAAGTTTGTGCTGAGGAGTAGACTTGATGTGCCTACCTTTCTCTGATCAGTGGCTGGAATGGGACTCGTTTGCAGAGGAAGACTGATTGTCAGCATGTTTCTTATTCTATGTTTAATTATGTATGCAGAAAAATTATGGTATTGCATTTAGAAACTGTAGCTATAGTGAGATATTTAACTTCTTATAAATAGCTAAGTGGGATAAAATATATTTGAAATAGAGTCTTAAAATATAAATTGTGCTTTGAATCATCCCATTGTGCAATCTTAATTGCTCCCTCCCCATTAATTGTTTATACTGCGTTGACCTAATTCTACTTAATGTCTTCAATAATCTGCAAGAGGGATCTACAGTATATTAATAAAAGTTACAGATGATATTACACTATATGATACCTGAGTGGGAGAGGTCCAACAGATGGATTAAATGTAGACAAGAATTAGACGCAGCCTAAGAGATTCAGAGAAAAGGTAATGCATTTGAGGAAACTTGGGTACTTAGTGAGAGAGAGAGAGAGAAGATTGAAATGTAATAATGTAGTAAGAAGCCTTGATAATGTAGGCAACAAAGTTGCTTCTGGCATCGCTAATGTCAAAAGAAGAGTATATATGCAGAAGAGCTGCATCAGGCAGCTGGAAATCAGAATACTCCTTGTGATTGCTGAGGTAATTTCCGGAGTACAGTCTTATATTTTGGGTATCTCAGGGGTGAGGAATTGAGTCAATCTTCTGAAGTCAGAGAACAGTAACAAAATTAGTTGAAGTGAGAAAGAAGTCGGAAAGATTGAGTTGTTAAGTATGTATAATTTTTTGTTATGTGACAAATACATGTAAAGGAAGAGCCTTTCTAAGTATGAAGGTGTGATTATATACATTTGATACAAGGCAAATATCCAGTGAATATCAGGAGAAAGATCCTACTGATGAGATCAGTTAGGTTATGGAATGACACAGTAGTGCTTATCAATGCATACAAGTTCTTGGAAGGTTTTAAGTTAGATGTAGTGCAATAGTGGAAAATAGTCTTCCTTTGGCAAGAGTTTGAACTACATACTTGAATAGGCTGTTTCCATTTTTAGCTTCAATGATTCGATGATAATACAGCTTTTTTGAAAATTGTAGATACACCTTTTTCTGGTGTATCAGGTAATTTGATGAAAAAGCAAGGATTTACTACATCCCTAACTTTCAAATTCCATTTTGTGCCTTAAATTTGTGATATTTGTGCATGTCTTCATTACATGTAAATTAGTTTCCTTTTAAATGACAGGTGCATAGTGCACTTGAGATAGAATAGTTGTATTTCTTACCATTTTAAAAGGTGTAATCTTTGTATTTTTTAGAACAAATTTCACGCAAGGTGCTATAATTTAACTTATTACTTCTCTCTTTTATATGCAGCTAAAATTATTAAAAGTTTAAAATATAAACTACAACACTGAATCACAAAATAGTTGTGTTACACATGTTCAGACTAGCAGTTGTATTTGTCCAAAGTTCTTAGAGTACTGTTTTATAAACTTCACTTGCTTTTTGATCCACGAGGAACATCATGGCAGTTTTTAGAAGTATTTCTCAGTTAGCAAGCAGAAGAGTGTGATAAAATATGAGTAACTTAAGATTAGATTAAGTTCATGTCTCTTTTTTTACTGTCAGGGCAGCTCACTGAAGACCATAGCTATCAATTCATTGAAAATGCATTGCGTACTTTAAGGATGATTTTGAAAGCCTTGATCGGATGAGTGTATCCCACAGATACTATTCCTGTAACAAAAGGAATACCTGTGCTATAATACTGTATTATATTTATTTTCATTGTGGCTTAAGGATATTATCATATGTCAGCCAAGGAGCTATTTTTATATCCTTTTGCACATGTGACATGAAAAAAACACAGCACTGTTTGCTAAAATCCTGGGTTTGCACTTTCATAAAGCAACAGTGTACAAGGTAATGATACAGTTTTAGAAGTGATTTACAGCTACAGAAGAGTCTTGCTAAATGATAAATGAATAAAAATAAAGCTAAAAATGACTTACAGTATTGCATTCAATCTTTGATAGACCAGAGAGATTGCCATGTAGATTAGTTTATGTGGCATGTACTTTAAAAAAAACAAGTAACATGTTCTTTTCTTCCTCTTCTTTTTTGATTGAAGCCTTTCACTGAAGCCTCAATGTATACCTTTTGTTTTAATATCTTCTCAAAGATAGTGAGCATTGCAGGTAAAATCCTGTTAGCATTGAGTTCAGATGGGCCAGGATTTTATCCTAGGTAGCTTACTTAAACTTCAGTATAACATCGTGAAACATTTAATTAGCTTGTTAAATGGACATAAAAAATTAAGTATGATTTTCATATGGTGCTCTCTTTCCAACTTCTTTTTGATACCTGTCTTTTTTGTCTTCCTCTCTGCAATATTTCTAGTTTTCTAAAGCATTGAAATCCTCCTGTTTCTGAAAGATTAGGAATGTATTCAAACATCAGCGTCTTTAATGGTTTGATGTAGTCTTTAACAAATTGTTTGTATAAAGGTGTTTTCTTACTTATGATATATATGCCTTCTGGAATGTATTAATATAGAGTATGACCTTATGGAGCTTTTTTAATGACAATACATAGGAATAGGCATTTGGAAGGAGATTCCTATTCATCAGGCGATATTTCCTACTATTGGTAGTAACATAAACACACCGTCCTTTTTATAAACTCCAGCTGAAAGCAGTTGGATTTCTTGAGGTTCCCCCAGCACTCACACACTGTTCCCACTGGGAAAGGCTGTTCTGGGACAGATTGAGTGAATCACCTTGTTTCACAGCTCTGCCCAGAATGTCTAGAGGCCAGATCCTGGCCTCAGGGCATGGACAGTACAAAGGAATATGACGGTGAGAAATTGCATCTTCCACATTAGCTGCCAGGAGGGTCACTGAGGCCATTGTAAACAGTAGTTGATAGGCGTCCTTTCTCTGAGAGCTCAATGTGCTCTTACACCTTCTGTGTAGGGAGCTCATGGGGTCAGCTGGGAGGATCTCTGTGCACAAAGGGTGTGTAACAGAAAGGGCTTTTCTGCTCCGCTCAGCTATCTTATTACTATCAATAAGCCTATATTTCTTGAAATACTGGTATGCCAAGATAGCTATGCCACACTGCTCTCAATTGTATAGGTCAAAATAAACAGCCTTGGAGAAATGGTGCAGTGCGCTGCTTCTAATTCCCATTGAACATAACATTTAGCCAGGTTCATGTTAATGGACAGATTGCAATGACTAGTTAACAGGGAGGTGCATGGAGACCTTTTCTGTGACCAGAGGGAACCTACCTTTTCTTATCCAGAAAGAAATATGTGCATTTTAAATCTAGGTGTAGCTACTGCTCTGACTGTGGTACTTGTACTCTTCACAGTAGCTTACTTTAGTGGATGTTTGGATATTTCTATGATTACTAAATAAACTAGAATGAAAACAAATTACAACCATTACAAAAAATTATAATTTAAGGTAGTCGCTAAATTAACAGTTTTTGTGAATTCAGCTCTTACTTAATCTGCCTTAGAACAAAAAAAAGGAAGGAAAATTAATACAAATAAGTGTTCTGCACTAAGCAGGAGGGCTTCATAAATCAAAATTTTCAGGCAGGCAAACTGGCTGCAGTTGTTTATAAAGGATTGCTTAAATGTGTTTTTGAACAAAGAGGTTGAAAGCTTTTCTGAAAATTAAATTTTATTTCATAATGTATATTCTAAAATGTGCTCAGAGATACTGTATTATTTATTACCAGTTTACAATTTAAATTCATGCTGAACATACACTTTTTATAGATGATTAACTGTAGCCCATTAAAATGTTTTATTCTATGTTTGTTACAATGGCTGTTTAAGAAACAAACACCTCATGTTTCTGCAAAGCTCTGTGATCTCTTGCTCAAGTGAGTTGCAGTATTGTTAGTGCCTACTAAGCTTTACAGCGCTGTTAAAGCGGCAGGTTGATATTTGCCAAGGATAGCTCCTTAAACTTGCTTTCATGACGGCACACCTTAATAGTGGGTGGTCCTCCTGGTTCAATGTCTGGTATTGTACGCCACTGATGCCGTTCTAGGGGTCTTGAGCGCCTTCAGTAGGACTGAAGGCTTTACAGATGTCAGTGATTCATCCTTATGAATTACCAGATTGAGAAGACCTGTCTTGTGAACTCTTAGGTCACAAAAGTGAGTAAGTCTGACAAGTGAACTTAAGGCTGTACCAAGACAAACTGTGGAGAACCTGGACGTTTGGTAACTCTAGCCTTCTCAAAGGAACTTGCTGTCAAGTTCAGGCCTGCAACTGGTGGTGGCTTTCAAGTTCTAAAATGTACAGTACTTTCTGTGTCATGTTGTATCAACTTAAACATGTTGTCTTTTTATTCACAGCTCTCTTGCTTCTCTGTTCAGTCTTGAATGTATTTTCTGTCCTTTCAGTTGATGGCTTTGTAGAAGTGTAAGTACGGAAATATTTATCTAAGTGTATCATGTACTTAAAGATTCTTAATAATGTAAATGCACTGCAGCCGCTCATTATTGTTATTTTTTCTGAAATGCGTTATCATTAGCAGTTTACACAGACAGGAAAACAGCACAATATGATACTTTTAATAAGTTATTTATTTGCAAAGATTATAAGATTTGTTGAGCTATAGATTCAGATATTTGTTTTAGAGATTGTTAATACTGTAGCACTGTAGAAATTCATCATCAATTAAAAGACATGTTCTAAACTACGTTCTATTTGATTTTTTCTTTTTTTGTAGCATGTAGAAGTCAGCTCATACAACTGTTCAGCGTATTACACCAGACTGGTATCTGTTTACAAATACTATACTTTTTCATCTGGAATTATTTCACAAATTAATCTTGAGGTCCCCTGTAACATATTTACTCTTAGCCAGCCTTCCTTTTTATATTTCTTAAAATATAGTCCATTAAAAAAGAGGTAGGTGTGAGTAGTGATATTGGTTTATCAAACAAAAGGGGAAAATACAGGGCATTAAAGAGAATGTGTAACATCTGTCAGCATGTACGAAGAAAATTGTGTTACAGTGGTCCTGAAATAGGTATTACAATAGTGGATATTTCAATGTTTTGGAACAGGACTTTTTTGTGGTATCAACCTTTGAGGGGGGTGGAGGCAGTGAACATCCTCTGGCTGTCCTTTGCTACATGACTAACAATGACATTGCAGCTATGAGGATTTTGTTGCCATGACAGTACAATAAAGCAATATGTGAGCGTTCACACCTACTTCTTTTGAATTAGGAATCAAGTGGTTGTAACCCCAAGGAGCTTAACTGCATACAAAGGCTAAATCCTGTTAGTCAGATGCATTACAATGGAGACGTAGATCTCCTAATCTGAAAGTCGCAGAAGTGGTCTTCTGATCTAAATTTACAGGACAGGATTTACTTGTTCTGGACCTCTACCAACGTTAAACAAGTTTGATTTCTACAGAAGCTGGTGGAAGAATGTCCACTGATCTCAACAGGAGTATGATGGGACATAGACATTCACGTATTCTGTTCTGTGTACATCTGGATTTACCAGGAAAAAAGTAAACTGTAGCCTCCCTGTCAGCACTGTCTGGGAGAGGGCATATGGTTGTTAGGCGTTAGCTGTTGCATGGTGGCTCGCCTGCCACCCAGCTTTACAGTGCGACTGCACCCAGCACTGCTCCCTGTGGAACGCACCAAAAGACCAGGAAATCTCCAGCATTACGCTACTATTGCACTATACTAATCTGAATTGAGCAGAGTCATAGAAACATATCTGCAGAAGTATCTTTTATTTCTGAAATTAATCTAGGCCCAATGACACATCCCATTAAAAATAGGCAGGGTAGATCAGCCCTCACAGCTGCTTGGACATTCCTAGCTTGGAATGCTGCTGTCACTGAGCAACTTCGATTTTCATATGTAGTCTCTTGGCGGTCTGCGCTCATACCACTCTCCTAAAATGGCACTTTGCCTGCCCTTAAGTGGCTGTTCCAGATTCAGTAGAACAAATTGCAAATGACAAGCAAGAAAAGATTCAGATGGCTGTACTGCTTCACACACCAAGCACTCTCCTGCATGTCGGAAGAGAATCCTGGGTGTGCAGTCAAATTTGTGTGCCTCTTTATTTATCACGCATGAAGTTGCATTGTATAATAGAACAGACCTTCAACTCATGAAGGAAAGAAACAAATTTCAGTACCGAAGACAGCAAATTACAGTTTATTGTGTAAATTAAGTCTGGGAAGACCATTAAGATTGAGATTCACTCGGTGACAAAACAGACAGAATTGTGGATCTTGCAGCCAACACTTGCAGCCAACTGAAAGCAAGTACTTAGCGTTACTCCTGTTTTCATTCAAAGTGAGGTGATACTGCTGAGAATAAAAATCTGGAATTCTTGTCAGAAGGAGTCTTTTACAGTGGTCATCTCTGACTGGGGCTCGATTGATTTAACTTTCCAATCTTTACATCATATCCAGCAAACTCTTAACAAAAGGGTCTGTCTCTCAAGAAAAAAGACCCTGGAAACAATTCCTCTAGAGGTTCCTAAATAGAAAATTTATCCAAGAGTTCATGACATATAAACACTTTGGAACAGTTTCATACTCTTAAGGAGAAATAATAATTTAAATCATATGGGGATTTATTTATTTATGTTGTTCTCTGTGCTTACTACAACAATACAGTGCTTGAAAAGGAGTTGGAAATCTAGAGAACAATGCCCAGATACTAGATATGCTGGTATTGAATCTTTAAAAAGATGGTAATATCTCAGGGTTAACGGGGAAAAAAGCAGAGGCACAAACTAACTTTTCTCAGTCAGAAAGAGTAGCTCAAATCCTGGGTCTGCCTGTTCAGCTCTGTTTGATCCCTAGGCAGTGTCTGCTGTTGTCTATTATGTTAGAAATTTCACTGTGTTCATACTTGATACAGCAGATTTTTTTTAAAAATCAATAGACATAAGTCGTTACTGATAGAAATGTGTTACTGTCATGTGAAACTCAGGTCAGAAAAAAAAAAGAGGGCATGGTTTCTCCGTTTCTCAACCCTTTTAAATGGAAAGCTTGTCTTATCTTAAAAGCCATATTGGGCAGTGTTGCCATGATATTTTTCATTTGCCATGAAACCAAAATTAAGCTACTTTTTAGATTATTATTTTCCCACCATTTTTGCTCCCGTGTGGGAATGAGTGTGTGGTCTAGATGATTTTGTCAGTTGTCTCAGAGCCCTGCTGTTTTACAGGTCAGCAGTAGTCCACAGTCCGCAGCTGGAAGAATACTGCATCACGATATTCCTAAATTGGTGCAATGGCTACATTCTTTAGAAATAACTTCATTCTCCCAATAATTGCAGAGTGAAGATAAAATATTCATGACTAATATTTTTCATGAATGTGATTGCCTCCTGAATAATGTCTGTTATGCGTGAACAGGTTTTGGGGGTTTGTTGGTTTGTTTGTTTTTTCTGCCTGTATAGTTACTTACAAACTAATTACATCATTACCTACTGAATATGGCCTTTGTGGTTGGCATATGTGTGAGTTCTCTGAGTTTATGGCAGGTTTGTAGTCCACTTCCTTGATCATAAGCTTTAACTCTTAGCTGTAAGAGTTTGTGGGAAAGATACAGTGATTTCACCTTCTGTCTGAAGTGAGAATTGCACTTCAGGATATCTTTCTCAGTGCATTCGATATTAAAGCATGATTCCCTTTTTGTCTTGCTTTCTTCTGATCTGTGCAGGCTACTGACGAGGGGACAATCACAAGATCTCTTGTAAATAATGTCAGGTTTTTGTTAGTTCTTGTTTCACTCCCCCGACTCCTTTGAACACTTGCTACAATCCTTGAGCTGTTAAACAGCACTAAGTTGGAGCTAACTTACTCACCTTCCTATGGTCTGTAAAGTTTCCTTCTTATCTTAGGGCAAGACCACGGCCCATTTAATTTTCCTGCTGCGAGACCTGGCACTGTCTCTTTCTCCCCAGCATTTAACTGCTTGAATGACTCTGCATTATGGGGCAGAGTGTCCTGTTTCCAATGTGCAGAAGACAGCCAGCAGAGAACAACGGAGCTAACATTTTGTGTTAGATGAAGAGTGGGCAGCTTTAGCCATGTGCTGAGGGTAGTATATAGGCTATATGTTTAGGGAACTGAAAAGGAGACTATGTTTCTGAGTCAGGCACTCCTGGATGGCTGCTGTGCTTGTGACTGGAACAAGCTTGCTGTTTAGCCCTTGGTATTGAAAAGATACATGAGATGTGCTTCACTGGCGAGTGGTAACATATATATATATATGCTCTTGGTTTTCATCTCTGGGCACACTATGTACCTGCAGTTGCACAGTTTGCAGGTGCTGCTTTTTACACGTTAAAAGAATTAACACCTTCCTCCAGTGTTCTAATGTAGTTTAATTCTGAGATGTCAGGAACTTCTTGGAAGAAATAGCGCCTTAGACTGAACTGATTCCATCTTGAGAGCATGAATGTTTCAAGCAGCAGAAGTAAATCTATTCAGGGTTTTGGGTGCCCTCCGTAAATAGTTTTGGCAGCTAATTTAGTTCTGTCTCCCATCTTCCTCATGTCATCTTTTCCAGCATAGCCTGTATCTTCTAATTCATTCTGTGCTATGAAATCCCATTACACAAAATAAAATATGTGTGAAAGAGAAATACGAGCTGTGCAGGTGGGCCAGCATGCTTAAAGTATGAGACCTATCCTTCCTCACTGCAATCGTTCATGGCAAGGAGGAATGTCAGTCTGACAATTCTGAGGAACAGCAAAAAGGTTGGTTACTAACAGTGGTCTTCAAGTTTCCTGACCGTGAAACTGCTTGAGGGGAATCTGCTCAGGGATGGGTTTTTTGTAAGTGCTTGCTGAGAAGCCAGTCACAAGCTCTTTTTCCCAAGGCATGTTGGGGTGGTCTTTCTGCTTTAAGATGACTGCATGTACTTCACTTTGGAGGTGATGCTTAAACCTTCAAGGTGCCTTGTGCTAATACTAAGATTTCTACCTTTCAAGGGGTTTTAACCTTTCTGTTATTCAGTTATACTCCCATCACAGGCCCATAGCATCCCTCCAGTGATGATCTTTCTTCCGTGTGTATTTCATATTTCCCCGAGAGGCTGTGACTGTTGTACTTAAAAATGTTCAGAGCCCAAGTAATATTACCTAGTATTTCCTCTGGTTGAGAAAGGGTAAAAAAAGGTAAACAAACCCTTGTTTTGGTGATGGTAAGCATGGAGGTTTTTTGATCAAGGAATGCTTCGTTTCAAAGCTGTGAGATCTACAATGAAACCTAGAAACCTTAAATTAGAGGAAGGGGTTAAATTGCTTCGTTATTTACTAGAAACTCTGAGACCTGTAGCAGGTGCATACTGAATGCGATAATTAGGCATGCTTTAAAGTCAGCTGCAGGCAAGCTATTATTTCAGTATTTCTCTCTCAGAAACCACAGCTAGAGAATTACTGGTCTCATGATGATGATGATAGCAAACGCCCTTGGAGCACTAGCCAGGTTAACCAGTGTTGTTTCCCATTGCAACTCCTTTTCCATGGGAAACAGAAATAATTACTGTGTAAGTACACTGGGCTCTAAATAGCTGTTATTCTTTAGGTATACTATTTACCAAGAGGTTTCATCTGCAAATGATACCTCTTGAGATGGTGCATGGGAAGGATGTGACCATTTATAAAAGCCTTTAAGAGATCGGGTGTTAAAGTGTCACAGCTGGGT